TTTTATACATTACACATTTTCTGTAAATAAATCTGTAGAAAACATAAAAGCACACAGCATAATATTGTTTTAAAATATCAGATTTAAAATCAGAGGTAATGGGTCACTCACAATACTCAGAGCCACGTATAGCAGGCTCTGGCTGTAAAGGTGGTGGTTTAATATACTCCTTAGGCGATCTGCCCCACTGCTGGTACAATCCTCCTTATTGATGAAAGAATTCTCCAGAGTAATAGAGTATAAAATCAAAGTTAAAACAAATCAAATAAAACAAATATTTAGCATAAAATTGCAGGCACAATGCGTTTCTACCTCAAAGGTCTTCTTCCAGGTGCATACAGTCCTGTCTCTATGTCCTTCTTTTTATCTGGGCAAACAGGAAATAGATTTTCACGCCAATTCCGGTGCAGTGTAGCTCCTCCCACTTGGGAGTCTTTTGTGCAGCATCATCGGGTGCGGCGTGATGATGTCAGTGAAGTAATGCCGTCTTGAGATCATCATATGGTGTTCCCCACAACCACATTCACCATACAGTTGCGGCGGCCATTTTTAGATTGGGAATAAGCCCGTGCAGTAAAAGTCTTTAGAGGGCGCAAACTGAGCGTCCATAATAAGACTTATTCGTGCAAAATATATATACATACATAAATCATATTTAAATTTCACACTAACATTTTTATACATAACTAAACCTCTATAATTTAATAACAATGTAGGTATATATGTGTACCTAAATATCAGAGAAGGAAAGAAAAGAAATGGGTAAGGATAACTTTGTATTTAAAAAATACATAAAATGATCTAAACAAAAACCATAATACCATAACTTCAAATGTGATAAAAATCATCATTCTATCATTGCACAGCCAAAAAATAAAAACAGAGTAAAATAAAGAAATTCATAGTAAAAGCATAAGTAAAATTATTAATGAACCAAATATATATATTTTAAAATAAATAATTATCCATAAAAACATAAGAAAAAAGGAGGTAAAAAATATGTGAAATAAAAAATGAGCATATCTCATAGTTAAATATACAAAAAATAACGGATGCCCCGGTGTAAAGTTCAATAGCTTATTTGAGTAGCGGTATGTTGTTGCCGAGGAGTCGCCATCTTGTTAGGCTGTGGGAGTGCAATGATAGAATGGTTTTCATCACATTTGAAGCTATGGTATTATGATTTTTGTTTAGATAATTTTATGTATTTTTTTCTTTTCTCTCCTCTGATATTTAGGTACACATATATACCTATATTGTTTTTAAATTATAGATGTTTAGTTATGTATAATAAAGTTAGTGTGAAATTTAAATATGTATGTATACATATTTTGCATCAATAAGTCTAATTATGACCGCCGCAACTGTATGGTGAACGCGGCTGTGGGGAACACCATGTGACGATCTCAAGACAGCATTACGTCACTGACGTCATCACAACGCACGCGATGACACCGCACGAAAGACTCCCAAGTGGGAGAATCTACACCGTGACGGAAACGGTGCGAAAATCTGTGTCCTGTTTGCCCAGATAAAAAGAAAGACATGGAGACAGGACAGTATGCACCTGAAAGAAAACCTTTGAGGTTAAAACACGATGTGCCTGCAATTTTAAGTTAAATATTTGTTTTGTTTTAACTTTGATTTGCAAGTAAAATTCTTTTATACTCTGGAGAATTCTTTCATCAATAGGGAAGATTGTACCAGCAGTAGGGCAGATCGCCTAAGGAGTATATTAAACCACCACCTTTACAGCCAGAGCCTGCTATACGTGGCTCTGAGTATTGTGAGTGACCCATTACCCCTGATTTTAAATATGATATTTTAAATGAATATTATGCTGTGTGCTTTTATGTTTTCTACAGTTTTAGTTACAAAAAATGTGTAATGTATAAAAACTTGGTATTCCTCACTATCCATACTTGTAGATTTGCACCCCCTATCTGTTTCTATTTATTTACTGTTTTATTTTTGTGTCCTATTTGTGGATGAGGCCACTATGGGTGGTTGCAGTTTACCAATATCAGCGCCAATCCACTCACTACCCATTCTTTGTTTGGGCTTTTTTTATCATCCACTTAAAATCAAAGCTCATTAGCCTGTATCTCAGAAAAAAAAAATGAACTTTGAAAGGCAAAACTGCACCAACAGTGTCCTTGCATCATAACTAGTGCCTTTGGTGCTTAGAGTAACCATGTATGTCTCTGGGATCACATGGCTATATATTGCGTAATTTGTATTGCCTGCTATATGTGCATGTAATATGCACTATACGTGCTTAATGTTACTCTAAAATACAAAAAAAATTAAAAAGCTGCATACAGACTTTTAAATGTATTGTTTTTTGTTATTTATTTTGCAAATGTTGCAGGTTGCTAATAACGAATAACTATACAGACCTCTATGTTCATTTAGCCAACTTTATTTTTTATTATTATTTATTTGATTTTTCTAAGCTTTTACACACAAAAAAATTAACATCCGCAAATTACACTTGAGGGTTGATAGCAAACATCGGAGTTTTACTTAGCCAACTCTGGCTGTACAAGTGTAGAAATGATAGATGTCAGAAAAAAACTCTATTTGAAATTGTTTGCTAGATACAAGACAGTGAACCTAGATATTTTGCGCAAGGGATTTAAACATTACTTTGGATCTGGTTAACTCCAGTGAGTTGGAAGACCGTTGACATTTGAGCAGCGGGTTTTAACTTGACTTAAAGCCATCAATGTAAGAACATATTCATGTCTTAAGAATTTGGATTATTTTTTTGTCTCACCACATTTACCCAATTAGTTTTCTGCATTTTGCTTGGTACAGAATAGGAGCTTTGACCCAACATCTCTTCATGTTAACTCCCCGGTATGTCTGTCTGGCAGTGCATAATATTTCATCCAAATTTCTAGCATTGCAGGCACACTGACCATATGCCAAACAGCTCAGCTGCATGCCTTGGCTCTAAGTGAAACCTAACCTGCAGTTTGAGAACTACTTAGAGTTCAGAGGACATCCAACAGTGTAAGAGTTAGCAACATTTAACCCTTACAGAGCCCAAAAGCAGAAACTTAAAGTTCTCTATTTAATTTATGTTAAATAATCATGGCCCACCAATGAGAGCACAAATAGTGACGTGTACTGTTGATGAGATGGTTACACAATTCTGAAAATCAGTGGTTAACCCTTTATGAATCAATAACTGCATATCCAGTATTTACAGATCGACCAAAATGCATTGTCCCACTCACATAGAAACAGCAAGGGGGTGTGGAGATGCAAATGTTAAATAAATACCACATTTGTTATTGGCAAAGAGACTTTAAGAACCGGATTGTGATGACACATAATGTCATTTTCTTAATGAGTTCAATAATAATTTTACCCCATAATAAACAAATAATTTCATGATAACTAGTGGTTTTGTGTTTCAAAGTCCATTTTGTTATGCCATTTACTTTTTATGCATTATTTAATTGAGCTAAATATTTACAATTAAACAATAATAATAAAACATATGTAGCTGCCTCTTGAAATGTCTGTATTCCATATTTTGCTATCTTTGTAAAAATTTTAAGCCTTGTCATATATATGTTGCTCTGAACATGGCTGTATGGTTTAGCAGAATTGTCATTACACATGTTAGTTAACAGACACTGACACCTTCACAAGCACACTGACCCTCCTCATAAGTAAAATAACTTGTATGGCTGAAGGCAATTATATTACATTACTTTTGACATGGGAAAACAAGCAGTGATTATTAAAGGAAGGTGAACTTAATGTTCTTCTAAAGTTCATCTGATCTCACATAACATTGAGTAATGTTTACAACAGACTCTGGAAAATTAAGGCCAATATAGCTGACTTGTAAAATACCAATAGATAGATGAGAGAGAAAGAGAGGTAGATTGATAGAGAGAGAGAGAAAGAGGGGTAGATTGATAGAGAGAAAGAGAGGTAGATCGATAGAGAGAGAGAAAGAGAGGTAGATCGATAGAGAGAGAGGTAGATCGAAAGAGAGATGGAGAGAGATAGTGAGAAGTAGATCGATAGAGAGATGAGAGATAGTAAAAGATACATAGAAAGAGAGAGATAGTAAGAGAGAGAGAGAAAGAGAGGTAGATGAGAGAGAGAGAAAGAGTGGTGAGAGAGAGAGAAAGAGTGGTGATAGAGAGATGAGAGAGAGGAAGAAAGGTAGATTGATAGAGAGATGAGAGAAAGAGAGGTAGATCGATAGAGAGGAAGAGGTAGGTAGATCGAGAGAAAGAGAGGTAGATCGAAAGAGATGGAGAGAGATAGTAAAAGATACATAGAAAGAGAGAGTGAGAGATGCATGAGAGAGAGAGAAAGAGAGGTAGATGAGAGAAAGAGAGGTAGATGAGAGAGAGAGAGAGAGAGCGGTGATAGAGAGATGAGAGAGAGGAAGAAAGGTAGATTGATAGAGATGAGAGAGAGAGAGCAAGAGAGAGGTAGATCGATAGAGAGCGAGAGAGCAAGAGAAAGAGAGGTAGAGAGAGAGAGCGAGAGAGAGGTAGATCGATAGAGAGAGAGTGAGAGAGAGGGATGAGAGGTAGATTAATAGAGAGGAGAGAGAGAGTAGATAGGCTTTTATTTTTTTTTATATATTTTAATGTATTTATATTTTTCCTTTCAGGTGATATTATAAATTAAGGGGATTTGTTGTTATAAGCATATTTAATATTTAAGTATTTTTAGTTTAAAGAGATTATTTGTGGTGAGTTATAAATTCAACCAGATTTGAAAATTGTTTTCCCTGCTATAAGAAAATAAATGTTTGTATTTGAGTGATATTCGATTACTCAAGTATTACCAAAAATCATGTTTTTAAAGTGTATAAAAGAAAGTTATTGAACATCGTAAATTAAACTGTATTTTAGAATTTAACCTCCTCAAATACCATTGATGACATTTTCAATATCAAATAATTTAGATCCCATCAGTATTGCAAAAGTTGACAAATAGCTATTATACAATAAAAGAAATGACATGAAAAAAAAGTTTTATTTAAAGAATTTTTATTTTTGTTTTTCCATCTTCCAGCCACAACTTCAACATTGTGATTGGTCGAAATCCGTAAGCGCCATCCAAAAACACTTAAGACATAACAGTAAATGAACAGAATACCTGTACATTGTATGATCTTTCAATAGTCCCAAACATAGTTAATAAACAGGCATTTCACCTATGCCATGAGACAGTATAAAAATGCACAAATAGGTGCCAGTTGTGGATGAGGTGTCTGTTGGGTGAGAAGTGAGGGTTCAGTCCTTGTTGTCTTTTTGGTCTTAGGCTATTTATGCCTTTACCAGGGCCTGGAATTCTGCAAAGACAATACAAAAAAAAGAAGAATTAATTAAATGTGTTCTGTTGTTTTTATTTCTGAAAGAATGAATTTGATTGACTTTAGTTTAAAGGAAATATGATTCTTTAGCATTGTACTAATGAGAGCTAGTGTTATGCTGTGTGAGTTCCATAGTCATTGATAGTTGTCTAGAGTTCACTCTTTGCTATATATGGAGCAGTCTTAAGGCACACTACAAATTAAGGGTGTAACAACAAGACTTGCTGCCAGAGCAAATTCCTGGTGTAAAAACAGCACCCTCTGAAAATTTAATCTACCAACCCAACTAGGGCTAGAAGCAGAAGTTACTAGGTATTTACAGGATGTCCCGTTGGGGAAGAATTATCCAAATATTTTTGATGTTGGAAATTTTGAATCAATATATTAAATAGATCTTACCATCTACTCCAATCTTGCCATCACCGTCAGAGTCTCCTGCTGCCAGGAAAGCCTTGGTCTCAGAATCGCTCAAAGCTCTTGCACCAGACTTGAAGTTCTGAAGGAACAATCTGAAGGAAAATAAAACGAGAAGATCTTTATGTTCTAATCTCAATTATCCCTGCATTTCAAAAGTTCAGTATTCATATGGAATATATCTAATGGATTAAATTTTGGCATTTTATATATTTTAAACAGAGTGATCAATACAATTTGACTATCATGCAACAGTTTCTGTTGCAGCTATGCAAGGACAATAAAAAAAATGAACCAATTGTTTATTTTGATCCATTATAGCTATGTTTTTCTGGGGAGGTAGTTCTACTAGTTGGGAGGTAGCTCCACTTGTTCGGAAGTTTTAAGACATTTTTTTTTAATTAAGTGTACTTACTGGAGTTCATCTTCCTCAATGTATCCACTCCTGTCTCTGTCAAGAATTTCAAAGACTTGCTTGACCTGATCAGCAGACTTGCCAGACAATCCGACTTTAGCAAAGAAGGTCTTGTAGTCAAATGCCTCTGCAGGAATAGGAAAAAAAATAGAGAAATTATGGAAAGTTCAATGGAATTACATTAAAGTATTCTATTTTCTTAAAAAAAAAAAAAAAAACTATTTATTAATTTGAAATATACTTTCTTGACCAAATATATACACGTATATTTGAGTATACTTTCTAGATCTCCTAGAACCATTTTTAACAGACAATTTATAGTTAATGTCATGTATCATAAGTTCCAGATTGAAAACTTTTCTATCTCTACAACTTCCTTTAAAACATTTGGTAAGGCAAGTTCATTCATTTTAGCTTCATTTGTAGCTAACTTTCATTTTGTATTTTTTATTTATATAACATTTAAATGAGAATCTCATTATCATATTTTAAGCCAGCATGATTTTTTTTGTGTGCATCTGACATTACATTTTGCATAATGTGCGTATATTTTATAATATTATCATTATTGTATTTTTTTTATGCCATTGCATTCATTTGCCAGGTATATTATATGTAAGATTCTGTCTGTTATATAAAAATTGTAAAAATATAACTTACTCTGTACACTCTGCAGGGCAGTTTCAATGTCCTTTACGGAGAGGATGTCAGTGATAGACATGGTGATTCTATAGAAAGAAAATATAAAATAAAGATTTTAGCCATTCAGTCAATTATATTGTGATGTTCCTCTCCTACTGTGCCCATTTAGGTCTATGTTTAAGATATCTAACAAAAATAAATAAATACAAACTACTATAGTAAATTTAGTTGCTGTATGCACAAGCGAGCTTCAAAAGGCGAAATTACATAAAATTATCTAGTAAATCCCCAAGTACCAAAATGAAAAAAAGAAAAATTTGATTTTCTAAAGCCTTCTAAAGTACTTGCAGTAATCATATTGTATGCTCAAGTGCTTTGGAAATCATTCCATTTAAAATAAGCATGTTTAGCGTGGTGTGGTTTAGTTAGCAAAGTTTTCTCTTCATCACTTGGGTTCTGCAGTAGAAAATCTTTAGAGTTTGATTTTTTTTTTATATGTCCCTTTTCGCTTTAATAAATCTTATTCCTCTTCTGATTTTGTATCCCCTGATCTTCAGTCTTCCTTGTTTTGCAGTTCCTTAAGTGAATTACCCTTCTTCCTTGCTGGTACTGTCTGAGCAGCTTACCTTGTGGTTGTCTTGGCTGGTCAAGGAGAAGATCTGTTTGGCAGTGGAGCAGTAGCTGTGTGCCTTCCTAGAGGCTAACCCCACCTATATATACTGTAAGATGTATACCATATACAGATGCTTGGTCCCAGCGTCACGGATGGGGAATGGTGTCAAATGAACTTGCCTAACTAATCATCTAGCACTATTTTTATCCCAAGAGAATACTTACAATATTTGCAAACTCAATAAGATAAGCGACTAGATATGTAGAAAGAACCTCAAGTGGATGATCTACTGTAGACAGAAAATTTTAATCTCTGGCATCAACCGAAATTATGAAATTATTGAAATAATCTGTTTTTCCTGAAAATATTAACACAAAATAAACTCGCTTTTTTTGAGCAGGTTATGAGTGAAAATACTGCTAATCATGATAATCACGTAATAAATATCAGTTACGTGAGTGGGGAGGAGGAACCACATTTAATAAGCAAGTGTAAGACGTTGTAATAAGTACGTTAATTCATTGCAACCACGAAACATACACAATTTAAGGACAATTGCTAAAGATTCATTATTTAATATTAAAAATTTTAAAATAATAGTGGACGGCATGGATTTAAGCTACGCTGATTTTCCCTGACACAAAATATGCACACGTGATTCATATTTTTTTTGGGGGAAAAATAAAAAAAATTTGGAAGTGGGGGGAGGGGGGGGTGGGAATGAATACATTGTATGTTCTGTTGTCACACTAAACTTTATAGAAGCATATATTTTTATTTAATTTTCACAACATGTCGTGCACTGGCTCACGCGTAGAAGGTTTAACATGGCTTGTTGCATACAACTGTATCTTGCAAAGGGTTAATGCGATTTTGCAGTCTCAAACAAAGTTTGCATCACTTAGTTACAAATAGCCAACAGCAGGTGCTTTGGTACAAGTTAAAGGGTTAACTCTTTCTGACAGGAGGGAGGTTGAGCAGTGCCAGCCAGCTGGATGTGCTGTCTGCAGCCTCCACTTTACAAATCTTGTGTTACATGTTACTATTTACTCCATTTCACAAGTTGCGGGATATATCTAGTGCAGTACACTTTTTCGTCTCCCTTTTAAATCCCTCCACAAGAAACGTTACTTGTTACTATACTTTAGATTGTAAGATTTCTCAATATACTTTCATTAAATGGCTTATTTGAGAACTAAGATATATATACATTACTCCTTCACTGCAGCCATGATAGATGTTACAGACAGCATTGAGACAGTGATACTTCAGTTTAAAGCACCGCGGCAGAGTATAGTTGGCCGCTTTTTTTTCATGCATCATACATTTTCATGTATTGGAAATATGTGCATTAAAAATGATATTATGTGGGGGGGTGTATTGCAAAGGTAGAGAGGATATGCACAGAGTATCCAGGGAGTACTTCCATCAGAGTGCTCCAGGCAGCAGGGCCACAAACCCAGGAAAGATTTAATAGAATAATGTAGATCAGGGCACACCTGGTGGTTTCTTCAGTAGGCAGCTGTATTACAGTGCAGAACTTTGCCTACTTAAGAAACCACCAGCTGTGCCCTGATCTACGTTATTCTATTATGGGGGGCGTGACCTGGATCTGGATGGAGTAGAATAGTATAAATGAAGGAAAGAATGACGCTTAAAGAAATAGTCTAAATATGGTGCTGCTGAAAAAACAACAACCCCAAGTGTAAAGTCACTGTTCACGTGGTATAATAGAAATAAACAAGGTGATTTACGCACACAGAAGACTCTGGTTTACCTTACATATATAATGTCTTTGGTAACCAGTGTACCGGAGTTTCTTTATCCTATATTAAATGAATAGAAAACAGATACACATAGCATAACCTGTATATAATATGTATGAATTTATGCAAATAGTCAGTAAACTCACACTTTTCAGAGCCAGTTAGAAATAGGCTCAGGACTTGTAGTGCATGTCATTTCATCAAGGACATATTAGATGAAGCTTGCAGCAGTCACCTTTTTCAGGAACTCAGTACTGCTAGCAAAACAGGAAATCCAGAGTCTAAGATGAACATTTAAAAGGTGAGTATTTATTAACAATAAGTTTAAAAAAAAACAAATGTAGCACAACGCGTTTCAACCTAAAATAGGTCTTCCTCAGGTGAAAATCTGCACCTGATAGAAGTAGACCCTTATCGCTTTCTTCCGCAGGCGTTAGCTTGTTGTACAGCGTTACTGTTAATAGAGGCTCTCCAAAACGCGCACTACACACCATCAAATATATCACACAGAGCTGGCAAAACAAATGAAAAGCTTCGGCATTGTCGTTTGTATCAATGGCAAAGATTCCCAAATCTCTGCCAAGGGTGATGGCACATGCATATCAGTGGCGTAGAATCCGCTCCAGTAACAGAACGCTCTATCCAGAGAATGCCGAATTAATATTATGTTATGTATAAAATTAGATGCATATTCCTGATGTTTCTGTTATGTAGCAAATTCTCATGCTGTTGCGTGCCATAACAGCAAAAAGGAAGTGGCACAAAAATGTAGCCAATTAATGCTGTGATATACTGCATGTTATTACATGGTGATGTTTTCTTATAAAATATACCTGGTAATGCATAATACTGCTGTGAATAATTGGATTGAATTCATTGCCTACACTTGAATAAGTACTGCTTATCCAATGCCAGGGAAATTTCCTCGATATAAGAAGCCCATTTTGTATTTGATATTAATTCTGTAGAAATAACAATTAATTATTTAATTCCAAATTGGACATCTATTGTATATTAAGCAATGTTAGTTATCGGACACTATATTCACCAAAGTTCGGGACACTATATTCACCAAAACAACCTTAGCTTAATGTAGCAGTTTTGGTGTATAGATAATGCCCCTGCAGTCTCACTGCACAATTCTCTGCCATTTAGGAGTTAAATCAGTTTGTTTATGCAGCCCCATGGCACACCTCCCTGCATGTGATTTACTCAGCCTTCCTAAACACTTCCTGTAAAGAGTCATCTAATGTTTAGAATGTCTTCTCTCTTGCATGTTAATAGCTTGCTAAACCCTGCAGGAGCCTCCGGTAAGTAATTAAAATTTAATTTACAGAGCAGGAGATAAAACATTTCAAATAAGTTACATGTGATTGAAAATAAAACAATTTTGTTTTCATGCAGACCAGGGTCAGATTAAGAGCCCAGTGGGCCTGGTGCTGACAATTATGAGGGACCTAAGTACAGAATCTTATCGTCAAAAAACACTAAAACAGTCATACCTCTCAAGCGTTATGTATCTGGTGGAGATGTTGCCAGAGGGAAACTCATAGGATGCAGCTATAAGAAAACTCAGATTCTCTTGAAATATGCTAATCTCTCTATAATTCATGCTTTCATGTAAATCCATACCCCCTAACAGCAGTGTCCAGTGAAGCAGGAAGTCAATGGGTGGTGTAAAAGGGTGGGCCACTGATGCGGAACATGTAACCAGAACTCCTGTAAGGGACGAACATGCCCAAAAAGTTGGCGTGTCTGCCCAAAGAATTGGAAGGCTAGCCTGGCATGAATGCATGTCAGGCTGCCTGTCAATCATGCATGCTGGCCAACAGCATCCTGAGCTTGACATAAATGCATCTAATGATGCGCTTGCTCCATGCTTTCTATGGACTGTCCTTAGACGTTTTTTCCATATATCCCTATTAAGTTTCTATACTTAAGCAAGAGTATGTGAAGAGTAGTTAGGGTTGCTACCTTTCTTGGAAAAAAATACAGGCCAGGGACACTGGCTGGCAGACATGGGGACACTGAGACACTTGGGGACATTGTGTCTCAGTGTCCCCATGTCTCTGAGTGTCCCCATTTCTCCCAGTATCCCCAAGTGTCTCAGTGTCCCCATGTGTGTCTGTTTCCCCATGTCTCAGTGTCCCCATGTGTGTCTGTGTGCCCATGTCTCCCAGCATCCCCTAGTGGCTTTGTGTTCCGAGATCTTAGTGTCCCCTAGTGTCTGTGTCCCCATGTGTGTCTGTGTCCCCATGTCTCTGTGTCCAAGTGTCTCAGTGTCCTCAGAAGTCTCCCTGTGTCCCAATGTCTCACAGCATCCCCTAGTGTCTCAGTGTCCTCATATTTCCCTGCAGCCTATACCCCATCCCTCACATCCCTGAGCTGTAGGCTGTCTCTACAGGCTGGGAGTTGCTGTCTGGACTCTCTGTGCTGTGTAGCTGCTCCCCCGCGGATCAGTTAGTAGAGAGAAGCAGGTATATGCTGTAACTTCCTATCCCTGCCTCTCTCCACACACACAGTGACCCCTACTGACCGGTGCTGATATTGCAGACTAATCTCAGTCTATACTGAGAAAAATACCGGCATTTGTATAGCCGGTATTACTGCAATATCAGCACCAGACAGGCAGCCTCAACTAAATACCGGCCATTTTTTTTAAATCAATGGACCTATTCTATGGGCATAGGCCAGGAGCTGCAGCTCCATCAGCCATACCTATGTTAATCCGGCCCTGGTGCAGGCTGTGTCAGTCACAGCAAGGGGAGGTGTGACTAGGTCTGCATAAACAGAAACAAAAGTGATTTAACTCCTAAATAGCAGTAAATTGAGCAGCGAAGCTTCAGAGGAATGATCTATACTCAAAAACTTCTCCATTAAGCTAAAGTTGCTTTGGTGACTATAGTGTCCCTTTAAAGGGACACTATAGTCACCAGAACAACTACAGCTTAATGTAGTTGTTCTGATGAGTATAATCATTCCCTGCAGAAATTTTCATGCAAACACTGCCTTTTCAGAGAAAAGGCAGTGTTTAGATAGCCCCCTAGCGACAACTCCAGTGGCCACCTCTCAGATGGCCACTGGAGGTGCTTCCTGGGGCAGTACTGCACAGTGTGCATGGAGACGCTGAATTGTCCTCATAGAAATGGAAATTAGGTAAGTTTATTACCTTTTAAGGGGGTTAACAGGGGAAAAGCCACCAAAATTGTGGTTTTGACACTAAAGGGTCAGGAATACATGTTTGTGTTCCTGACACTACAGTGTTCCTTTAATTAACCAGTTTTGCTGTATAGATCATGTCCCTGCAGTCTCATTGCTTAATTCTCTGCCACTTTGTTTATACAGCCCTAGTCACACCTCCCTCCCTTTGCCTTAAAGTAAGAATCTTTATTTGTTTTTGTAATTACGTTTTAT